GCCCGTTTGCCAAAAAACGTCTGGTATCTGGCAATATTCAAAGAGTTCTTGAAAATAAAACAAAGAAGACAAACTGAAGCGTGTGTGCACGATGATTTATTTCAGTCTGAGAATAATGTATGATGTCCTCTGTCAAAGCTGTCACATGGAAACAAAACAAAAAGAAAAAAAAGTTCACAAGTCCTCTAATAAGAAAGGTGAAATTTACTGAGGGATGAACAGCTTTTGTGATAAGTCTAAAGATTTACGATTATTGAAATACAATAGTTATGGCCTTGACAACCGAAACACTGAAGTTTGTTGGTTTACAAATGAACTAATAATTGGCATCTATTCTTGAACATTACAAACTGGAACTACATGTATATGCTTTATAAACTGATCGTTTCGTCAGGGAAAATTAAAAGGGAAGGGACAACTTAAAATTAAAAACAGCGTGTTGATTTAAATCATCAAGAGAAAGAAATATACATTTCTACAACAAGCTCCCTCACCCCCCCAGACAAATAAAATATACCAGAAATAGAAAACAAACATTTACGTGTAGTTCCAAGGCTGCAGTAGGCACTTACAGTAGGTACTTGCAGTAGGGGATACAGAGACGTCCAGCATTTGCATTAAAGTTAAGGGAGCAGTTGGATCCTGCTTCACGGTGACAAAAACATGCAGCGTACATGAGAGAGTACAAAAAACCACACCAAAGAACAAGGGGACAAAGATTGACAAACATCAAAGCTCAGGATGCAGAAACATAGGAACTACGGAAAGAAAGAGAGGAGCTCCGCTTACCCAGTGAAGCTTTGAGACCCCTCATTTTGTTGGAGATTTTAAGCTCTTTCATATAAAATTGAAGTTGACAAGGTCAAAGCATTTTGAAATTTTCATGATTTTGCCTAATACGAGATGCGAGACACAAGATGCGAGATACGAAATGTGAGATACAAGATTGGAAATCGTAACGCGAGATTCTAAAGCCGAGATGCGAGATGACAAATATTGAACACCATATTACCTAGTTTGGATGACTTACCTAATGGAGGTCTATGTCTGCACGGTCAATCATGCGGTAGCTCCAAAAGATCAGAACTTGAGGAAGGTCGATAGTTTCCTTGAGGCTTGAAATACATAGGCCTACTGTGCATATGTACACTGTACAGTATCCTAGGCCAACATGCTGTCCATCCTCCATGGTTCATGCATGCTAAGATTCTCACAAATCAAGCAGAATCACAATAGTAATAGCTACATGTACATAGGAGTACATATCACATTGAACAACTCTCCATGTCGTTACAAATGGGCAATTCCGTATGGGAAATGAGAAAAATGGCTAATTTTAAAGTTGATCAAATAGAAATTAAATTGACTGTGCTTTGCTAATAAATGTACACTTGGCATGGAGCAAAAAACCATTTTTGAAAATAATGTTTGGTTTCCCGGAAAATCGAATTTGAAATTTGATATTCTTTTTGGCTTAAATTAAGGACTCCTGAAGCTAAATACTGTAAAATGTCCCAAATCCTAAATGCTTAATTAATCCCTCTGAATAGTGTATAATTGCAAAGGTTTGGAGCCATAGATGCTTGTGTGAGAGGCACTTCCTTCCTCTGGATATGGTACTTGAGAGAGAAAACTACAAAATTTGGGTTGAACTACATGTAGCTGTAATTCCATTTGTT